TTTTTTTTTTGGGGGGGGGGGTTAGTTTGTTAGAGGGTTGCACCCCCTTTTACATTATTCTACCGGCGTCCTTGAGCGTAAGTACTATATGTCAGTATACGAAACTGCAATTGGATCTATGACAGTCTAGAACTTTTATTTCTCAATCATACTGCCTTATCAGAATGATTACAAATAACATAATGGACCAGAGTGTCGAAACTAAGGCTCCAGAGTTCAACTTCGAAAGCAACATGTTCGAGATCCAAAGTCACCCAAAGAACCCAGTGGTTACAAGTTTATATCATATAAGCCCTAAATTGAAGTAGAATTGATAATATCATATAAGCCCCATGTTTAAAGGAAAAATTACTTCATTTTTGAACATTTATTATAAAATGTCAGTCATACCTAAAATAATTTAACACCGTTTATAGTTGATACATGCTATCTACTCAATACAAAGAATGACATATAGACCCTTGTGAGAGACATCACAATTTACGAAAGGTATTATAAAGGAAACATGGAAAATATAACTAGGGCTGTCATTGGAACCTACCCCATTACTTTTATAATTAAGGGAGCTTGGTGAAAGGGTATATAGCTCAAGGATTCATTTGAATCTATATTGCACTTTTTTTTTAATCCAAGAATTATAGAATCAAGCACCCGTGTGCTATTTGCTTGTAAGCGTTGAGGCTTTTCAGCGACTTTTGGCAACTAACTTACAATCATTCCTTCCACAGACAAAAACTTTTGATTAGTTTATGCCTTTCAGGCTCTTATCTGCCTTGAACGACGTCAAGTAAGGTATTTTAGAAATTTTAAGGTAAGAGTTCAAGCTTGCTGTTCTGGGCCACTTAGTAGATCCTGAATTTGAATCACATATTTTAAATCTCCACATGCCAGCTCTTAAGGATTATGAATTTTGGTCCTGGTGGTTTAACTTTAATTATAGACTAACACGCTATACTATTTCTTAGGGTCCCAGCAGATCACCGAAGTCAAGCATCACTGGCTGCGATCAGTGTGCGGGTGGGTGACCACTTGGATCAGTCTTCGTAGGGACCGAGGTTGTGCGGTATTGGTCCTAGTTAAACTGTTCTACCGTAAAGTGCTCGACTTCGCGTGCAGGTCGTCGGGCTACCGAAGCGGGGGTGCCATCCCCTCTGCAGAGGATCAAAATTGTGATGGCATGTCTTCGGATCATCCTCAGGGATGTTTCCCAGACCGTCGCCAATAGCCCATTGTGCAGCTCAAGTGCGACGTAAATGAACAACAACAACACTTCTTAGGACTGGGATACTTTAAGAAATTCAGATTACGAACCTGCGAACTTCTTTGCTGCAGACTAGAACCTATTAAACTAAACCTGGTTATAAAAACTGGAAAAAAAGTCGCTTAGAAGCGACTTTCTGAGGCTGCTTGCGACCTTTTCTCAATCATCAGACCTCACCTCTTGAAACTATCGAGCAAAGTTATATGATTTTCTCATTGTCTTTTCCCCCCTTAATTTCTTTTAAAATGTTGAAAAATTCATCTCTTAAATCTCATTATTTACACAACACTCTAAGAAAAGCGCAGATTCGTATATAAAAGACACTGAAGACAGACGCTTAATTAAAGTGGGAACAGTCTCCTTAAATTTACTTCAATTTAGCGCTGGAGTGCCATTTTTTCCGTATGTCTGAAGTTCTCAATTGATCTCAGGGAAATTCAAACTCAACCATTAGCACGGGGAGATCGAACCTCAGTAAGTCAAAGTGAATCATAAATGTTCATTTTCCACAAGGCTTGGTAGCATAATTTGAAAAAGAATGGAGAATGGTTAGTTAAAAATCTACATGACTTTGCTCTCTTAAACGTTCATCTGATTGATTATTTTAAGTGTCTCTTAAACTGTCAGAGGATCAAAGTGAGAAATATACATATCTTCCTTAAACCAAACTTCTTTGATTTAAATGGCAACAAATGCGTTCAAAGATTAAAGAAAAATCGCAGTTTTTTGACACGTGTTTATTAGCATAGGTCATCTTATTACTAGCCCCACGTGTTTGTACTTTTAAAGTACGCTTTTCTCCACGTGCCGACGTTTATTCTTCAATATGCCTCGTGCCAGGTCGTGCATTATAAGTACTGAAAAATTGCTCTCAAAGACTTTGCCTATACTACTCCTTGCTTGGTGGTTGTATCGTTCGAATCGAAACAGTTCACGAATACTTTAGTTAGTATTTTGAATTGATAACTAATTTAATTTCTTTAAGTAGACGTCAATTAACGAAAATTAAATATTTTAAATAGTTTCTCTAAACAGTTATATCGTGATAAAACTTTTCTCTTTAGACTATTTGCTTTTAGATTTTAAAATATTAAAACTCTGATATGTGAATGAAAACTTAGTTTAATAAATCGAAGTTGAATCATGTTTGGCATAGATAAACCACTTTTTTCTGTGTACCATTAAACAGTATATTCAATCTAACAATGTTTCTGGTAATTGCTGTGCTGACTGTTATCCTATACATATTTTCAGATATGGCTGTATTCTCTACACCAGTTCTTGCTCCAGTTGGACCGCCTGTGCTCAACAGGTTTTTACCTGTATATTCCATTACAACAACACCAGCTGTGTTGGCAGTACCCATCATTAAGAGGACGTGGTAAGCCTTGTTTCAAATAAATTTTCTCAAGCACAGTTCTAAATTTTTAAATATTAAAATATATAGCAGAATAAATTTTGATAATTCCAATCCTTTAAATTTTTAATGAATTGAACTAAAGTTAAGTTTGGTTTCGCCTTCAACCTTTTTATGCACTGAGGGAGAAACCATTCCTTTTGAAATAAATTTTCAAAGGTTAAATAGTGCTTAAACCGGAATATTTTAAATTCTGAGGTCACGACAGGTCCTTTAATCTTTGGATTGATATTTTCTATGACATTCCCTTTTATTTTTTAGTAATACTAATTTTGTGCTGTTGTATATTTAATGTTTTTCTCAGTAATTTTTAAATAAATTGCCAGCAGAGCTCTTGCATTAAAACAATTGTTGAAAACATTTTAAATACTATCTAACTTAAAAGTTAAATAATTCATTTGTTTTGAGCTTGAAATACTTAGTGAAATTAATGTTTGGTTACGGATTATTGTTATCTAATAGCTCCTTATTAAAGAAATGTCACGTTGAATTTGCCTAAAAAAATGTATTCCCTTTGGGCTCTAAACAGCCTTGTTCTTTACACATCAAATAATTTCCATCAACTAAGATTTATTAAATAAATTCCATGTGACTAAAATTCTAAATTCTATTTAAAATTTTAATTCAAAATATTCTAATGCATGGCTCGTGAAACGAAGGAATTTTGTGTATTTGAATTAAACTTGTATTTAAAAATTTCAAGAAATTTTATTGCAAAAATAATTAAGGTATCCAAATACATTCGGAGGCAAAATTTGGAAATTTTAAATTTAGAAATTTATTTGAATTTATTTTGGATTATTATACACTAAAACATGGTATGAATAAAAATATTAAATTTTTAAAAAGATAGGGGGGAGGGTGAAATTGGCTAAAAAGAGGCATTGTCAAAATTTTTCATTTTTGCTCTTTAATACTCACATTAAATCAATTTAGGAAACCTATATTTAGTGTGAATGTTTAGACATTGTGTGAATATTTAGATACTTTACAACAAATATCGAAACTTGTTATAACGTTAATTTAATGTTTAATTAGACAGATTTTTCTAAAGAATTAAAAGTAAAGGCACAATTTAAAAACTTTTAATTTGTAAACTAAAGTATAATTTAGAATTTTTGGCTTAGTTTTTATGAATTTTCAGTTTTGAAAAGTTTTTCTTATATTGTGATCTAATTTTTAAAAATTAGATCACGTAAAAAGATTAAACTTGTAATATGAAACTTATAATATGGAGTTTCCTTGCTGGTTGGGCAAACTATGTTAAGATAACCTTTATCATCTTTTAAGGTAAAATTTTAATTTTAAATTAGTAATCTATAGTTTCCTTGAAGTTAGAGAAGTTAAAAGTTAAAAGAAAGTTACTTTTAGTTAAAAGAAAATTTGTTACAACTTGTATCACCAGAAAGATTATACTGTAGAAATTTTGCATATATAGACATCAATCTCGTGTTTGAAACAGTGAGCCTTGCCGAAAATACAAAAAATGCTTTAAATTATACTTTAGGGTTCTAAAGTTTAAATTTGTTCTTAGAGCTGAAATGTTTAAAATAGTAATAGTTTTAACAGATTTAAATTTTCAGCAATGTGGCGCTTATCTGGCAGTTGATTTTCAATAAACTCTTCTCTCGCTTTGCACCTCATTCTTGGAGGCTTGTACCAGTAACTTCAAAACCATCTGGACGATGGCACACTTTTGTTGATTCCGCCAAAGTTCGGTTTGCTTGTGAGGTAAGTAAAAGATAACACTAAGAACTTGCTTTCTGAACAGCTTGGTTCAGTATTAAGTGATTATAATACTTCCGGAGTTTCACGCCTTCTCTGGAACTTAATTTTATTTCCCTTAAAAATTTCGAGTACTACATATATCTATCGTAGACTAATTGAATAATTTGCAAGCAGTCTTCATCATTTTGCAATGTGCCACACAAATTGGAAGTTTCCTGATTTTTCTAAACATTTGCACGGACTTATTGTGGATTTTCCTCATACCTTTACTCATAAAATTTCATTCATTGCTAAATTAGCATCTGGTTTATGTTAAGCCGTTTGCACTAAGCCAAGAGTAGGAGAGTATAAATAGCATTAAGCAATTATTGCAAAAAACATAAGAAAAATTAGGGAGTAAATTTTCAGATTTCCTAGTTGATCTAAGGACATAAGCTGATCGCAATAAACCTAAAGAACTTTAGACAATGAGGAAAAACTGGACTTTTCTAACTCGCCTGGTGTATTACAAAATTCCGACTACGTACATAAACAGCTTTTTTTAAACTTATTTATTAATGATTTAATATCCAATTATTGTGATCAAATTAATGATTTAATATATATATGATCAAATTAATGATTCAGTAATTTCAACTGATATAATGGAAAATAAATTGATTTTAATGTAATATTTAAGTTTCTCTAAGTTTTCCTTGTTTTTGCTAAAGTAACCAAAATTCAAAGCAATATCTTAATTTTTAATGCCTTGTTTTATTCTTCTGTTTCATATGAATTATAAAGACTATTTCGGAATTAGGATTAATGTGCTATCTTCCTGATCAATACACTACAAATAAGTGTACTTTCTTGTAGCGGAGCTTGCATCTCATAAAAATCTTATAAAAAGCTTCTTATAAAAAGTTAAGATTAAAATTGTCTAGTTTAAACTTAATATAGTCTAAGAAATCCGTTCTGTTGTTAAAAATAAACCTGCTACTTCATTTTAAATACGATAGTACTCAGGGTACTTAAATTTAGTGAATATTTTTCTGTAGGCATGTGGCCATGGATGGACTTCTATGAAAGGAAGAATTACTTTCTGGTGCGCTTTCTCAAACAATACAGGAGTAGTAGCCTACCGTCTTTACGGCCAGCAATGCGATAGCTGTAAGGGAGATGGCTATGAACCAGCAATGTGGTATCCTGAAGAGATAGAAAAGGTAAGGTTTTAGCATACCCGATTTTCCCCAAAAGGAATATATAGTGCAATTATAAAATTCAAAATTAAATTGCAGCAATATATAGGCGATGACTTAATACATGGTTTACATAAAGTACATTAAAATTTATGTATAGATTAGATATTAAGAGCAATGAACTCCCAAAAATGTCGAAATAATTCAATAGAGTGCTACGAAAACATCTATATTGTCAGTGAGCAAAATAAAATAAACAAATCAATAATTGCTTAAAAAAAAATAACATGCGTTTGAGATAGAGAAGATAAATTGAAATTACTTCTCGAACTGTGAATATGCTTTACTGACTTAATTTTTTTCTTTCAATTTTCAAGTGATATACTAGTAAATAGCTACTGGTTTCTTTACAAAGACTTTTTGGCCACTCTGTTGGTTTAGTGGGTAGATTCGATGAACCTGGATTGAACCGGAGATTCATTCTTCATGCTACAGTCTGGGTTCTGAATAAATTACTTTGGTCATATCTTAGTGGTTCGGATTCCATTCTAAAACATTTATACCTGCCCAAGGCTAGAAGCCCGCGTGTTGTTGGGGAGCGTGAAATAGAGGACGGAAGAGAATGATATATGAATTGCGAGTGTGCAGTGTACACGTACACCCGTAGTGTCTTCAATAAAGTGTCATTTGAAGCACAAATGGCTTAATTAAAAATTAAACAAGCTTTGTAGTTTTAGTACGGCATAAAGTTTCATGAAAGGTTGCTCAAAATATTTTTTAGTAAACGAAGACTTATTTTAAAGTTTCGTAAATTTTATCTTGAAATGCGCCTAAAAGTCCCTTTTTAGATATTGTCTTTAAACCGTAAAATCTCTGAACATAATACTTTTAACATTAGGAATTTGAGTGAATTAAATTATAGAAATGATCATAATTAAATGTGTATTTGTGTTTTTTTAAATTTATTAATTTTTGGTGACTTTTGTAATATACAAAATTAAATTAATACAAAGGTTTGAATTGCTTACCGTTTAAAATGTTAGAATTTGCAATCGGCAATTTGCTAAACAAATTGAAATCTTCATTTTGAAGCAGATACATTCAGCAGCTGGTACGTCGTGGAGAATAATTTTCAGACTTAAATTCCTTTTTTATCACAAGCCATTTGGATTTATTTTTGTAAGGACCCATGAGAGTTTAAAATCTAAGACAATTCTTTTGCTTTCTGTTTACTCTGTTACAAATATTTAAGACCAAAGCACTCAGTAATCTTCTTGAATAATCGGTGAAGATATCAAAATTTGCATTTGCTTTTGTCACTTTAGTCCGATATAGAAGTTTCAGAAGCGTTCTTTTAAAATGGTGTTTTACACAAAATCATTATTGCATGCTTAAATTGAAACGATGGCGTCAAACTTGTTTTAGTTAAATTATTTAAGGACATTAGAACTATGTAATATGGGTACGAATACTTAAATATAATAAGTTAAAGGGATTTCGGTCACAATTTTTTATAATTCTGGATTCGCAACCCTCGCCACTATACCATGCCACCAGACGATTTAAAGAAATTTTCAGATTATGAAATGCATAAAGTTTTATTGGGCGTTATGTGTTTAGAAATTATTTTAAAGCGAAACAGGTCCAGTTTGTAAATTTTTGAATGAACGCTAAACTAAAAATTACTTATTGATGTATTTGTAATCCCACAAATAATTTATAAACACTGAAAGTTTTACATGTGCATTATGTATAAAAGAATTTGGTCTTTCCTAATTGCGCTTTTTATATTTGTAGGTCCTTTTGAATATATTCAGTAGAGTTGCACATGTTTTTTATGGCTTAGAAAGACCACCAATTCAACTTAATAGAAGGCCTGGTAAACCAAAGAATCCACATAACTCCGAGCGTTGTCAAGCCTGCAAAGATGGAGTTTGCGCAGAGCGCAGATAAAGTGCCTCAATCGTGATAACACTCTAAATCTCATATCATTGACTACTAAGATGTAAATTTCAAGCACTGGTGCTATTATTTTACAAAACTGTTTTAGAGGCCAAATCTGAAAGTACTTCTTTAGTTAGAAAGAATTAGAAACAATTACTTATCTCGTTAAGTAAATCAAAATGTTTCAAATGTTAAGATTGTTTTAGAATGCAAATATTCTAAAACGTCGACCAAACTTTAAACGAAGCCATGTTAAACATTTTTGTTAAACCCAAACATTGATTTTTGAAGTTTTTCTTAATCTATCGAATTTTTTTAAACTTCATGTCTGGTTTCATGTATTGCCGCAATTCGCATAAAGACATGCGAAACTTGTACTTTTCTGTTTACCAATTTTGCAATAAACATTTTTGCTTTGTCTAATTGTGTTTTTATAAATATGTACTAAAGTTTCTGCGAATTGAAGACTTATAGCATGACAGAAATTATAGATTTAATATAAATGTTCTCAAACCTAGATGTAGTACCATATTGTGGAAATTAATGTTTTGTATTAATAAATTAGTTGTATTTCCAATCGATTTGTCTAATGTTAAGTTTTCTAAATATTTCACAGTGCTGAAATTTCCAAAAATTTTTACCATTAAAGGGGCGGATTCTTATCAGTAAAATCAAATATCATTAAAATTTGTACATATCAAAATTAAGACTTATTTCTAAATATGAATAAAATTTTATCTTTGATTCTTAAAGAGAACTGAACTTAGACATTAATTTAGGAATTAACGAGTTCTAGTCTCCTTTGGCTACCAACTTGGTTATCTTACACAAATATCTTTTACAACATATAAACTTAAAGCGCTATGTCAGCTAATTCAACATGCTGTTTCTCCAATCCTAAAATCCAAGTTTTGAAAAATATAATAAACAAATTCTGTCTGCCACTTCGTGTTTTTGTCCGCGAGAAGTACTTGGATATCAAATTTAACTATTTTCAAGAAATGTCAGTGATATTGTTAAAGTTTATGTGTTTTAGAAACTTAAAATCTGCCGATAGCCATTAAATCGAGCAAACCTCCATAGGTGACATATCAGCATAGTAGGCAGAAGCATTTAAATTTCTGTTTTTATTAGTTGTAGTTCATTTACGTCGCACTAGAGCTGCACAATGGGCTATTGGCGACGGTGATGATGATCCGAAGACATGCCATCACAATTTTGATCCTCTGCAGGCAGAGGCGTATCTATGGAAAGAAGCGCCTATGGCAAATCTCGCACTTGCGCCCTTCCTAAAATATTTATAATCTCTTAAATGTTGTTGTTGTTGTTGTTGTTGTTAATTTACGCCGCACTAGAGCTGCACAATGGGCTATTGGCGACGGTCTGGGAAACATCCCGGAGGATGATCCGAAGACATGCCATCACAATTTTGATCCTCTGCGGAGGGGATGGCACCCCCGCTTCGGTAGCCCGACGACNGCAATATTGCAAAAAGAGCCGTGGTGGCTCAGGGGATAGAGCATTCGCCTTCCAACGAGGTGAGCCGGGTTCGATTCCCTGCAATGATTGCTCGACACGATTTCCGTATCCGGCTTGCACCTACCACAGTGCTGACGTAAAATATCCTCCTTGACGGATCATTGGTTACCCTTGCCGTCAGACTAAGCGCGGGAAGCTTTCGTGATCCTCTTCTCCATGTAACGCAAATGCAAATTAGTTCAATCAAAAAATTCCTCCGCGAAGGCAAATTTCTCCAAAATGCTCGATACAGGAGTTCCCTTGTCTTCTGAATTGGGTTCAAAATTACAAGGCTGCGAAGTTGAACATTAGCAGTCGCAAATTCAAACAATTCGATCGGCTGTTCAACAACGGTTATAAAATTTTCCAAAAAGATTGCATTGCATTTTTTTTCAAATAGATTAATAAATGAATAAAAATTAACTATAACAATAAAATTATCTCTTTTTAATTGTAATGCATTCACGTGTGTTCGAAATTAGCATTAGTTAGGAATAAAAAAAGTTTCCTTTATCATATTTAAAGAATATTCTCTTGCGTTTCTTCAACTGTCAATAAAAATTCTAACAATTTGTTTAATTAAGCAACAAATATAATTAGGTAACAAAAATACTCACACGCAACAAATGTGTCTGGGTTAAAGAAGAACTGTAACATAACCGGATTATTACCCATTATTTCCAAAATTTAAACTGAATGAAATTGATTGTTTTTAAACATTATCATGCTTTGCTAATACCAAAACAATAAAATCATCGCGATATAATAAATTCATTGAAGATCACAGTGTAAATAATTGCGATTTGTTATGACAATTACAAATAAAATAGCTACAATCAAATTTTAAAATTTGGTTAGTTTTTTATTTACAAAAAACCGATGCTCTTAATATAATTAAGTTGTACAAACATTATATAATAACCGATGATAAGAAAAAATATAAATATAATTAAATACAGAACTCTAGACAAAATAGCGACAATAATACATTCTTTAATGAGAAATAAATTAGAGGAAGTTGACGTCTTAGTTTAAGAATATCTAGAAATAATTGATTTTTTAACAGTGAAAAAAAAAGGCAAAAAGTTAAGAAATAGACCAAAAAAAAAATTTAAATTATGAAAAATTCTCTTCGCATCAGAATGGAACAAATTAGAGAAAAAGCAGAAAAAAAAATTAAACAGATTTGAATTTGAATTATAAGTTTTTAGACGTTCAGTGCGCAAAAAAATAAAATAAATAAACGGACTACCCTGATAACTTTTGATATAATAATCGGATCTTCACGTTCTTCTCATGTCAATGGTTCAAGGAGGTGACTTAAAATATGCTAATTAATAAATGCAGGGACAATATATCAAGTTACGAAATCAGACACTAAAACGTACTTTTTCTGAATAAACATGCCATTTTTTCTACTGATTTGGATTTCTGTACCCCTAAGTATTGGGGGTAGCCGCAATATGAGAAGTAACTCGAGAGCTTTTCAATAGAATTTAAACAAATTTCCCAGAATTTGTTTAAATTCTGGGAAACGACCTTTGTTATTTTTTAACAAAGGTCGTTTGTTAAAAAATAACTTTTCGTAAACATTTATTATTTTATTTATAATCGTAAAAAAATTAAATTGTAAGGTATACATTTTTTACATCGTTTTAAAAAAAGGTAATTTAACAAGGAAAAATACTGTATTGTTTTAAAAACAGTATAATAATTTTTTTCAAGTAATATAATATGTAGTGATATAAATATAATGTAAGTGATATGTATTGTAAAAGACTTATAAAATTTAAAGAAAAGTAATTATTTAATCACTTTTTTTTAAAGGAAGAAAATTGTAATCTGAAATAAAATAAAAGATATAGAGGAAAGTATAATGCATTAGTTTAAATATTTAGGAAATGATAACTTACAATCAAAGAAAATCCTTGCAGTACACGTTGTTCACTTAAATCTATGAATCAACTCTAAAAGCCCAGAAGCTGCATCAATATAGGTTATAAAAATCTAAAGACTTCAAATATTTGATTTTTTTTGTCTTAAATTTTGAAACATTAACTAAAACGAGCAGAATTTTTTGTATGAGCGCCTAACTACTTATAACGCCTGTCCTTTATTTTTCAATATAGTGGGGTGTATTCATTATTAAATCGTTTCATTGGTTTAAATTATTTGTTGAGCTATGCAGAGGAACCTCCTATTTTCACTATTTCACACTTTAAGTGGAGGTGATTCCCACCATGGGTGGCAAAAATCTCCTGTTGTGGAAGGATTTACGCTAATTTATAGAAGGGGTTCTATTTGAAATCTATTCAGAAGATTCCGAAAACGTTTTTCAAAGAGATTTTAACCACTGATAAAATTGAAGATTTACAAGCATTTCACTACAGAATAATTAGTCTAAGCTAGACTGGGACACCCCATGGTTTTCACATCTCTCAAGTCATCCCTCTGGTCATCACCATCTGGCCATCTGGTTTTTCTGCCTGAAGGGGCTTCATCCATTTCCTCCCCGGAAAATTGTTCTTTTAACTGGAGGTCTCACAATCCTTAAGATAAGGGGAGAAAAATTTCTTTACATTTCTCACCAACTTTAGAACTGCCAAAGTTTCTTTCTTTCGCCTTTCATTTTTTTAGTCCGTTGTACTACTAATTTTTTTCATAAAGATAAATATTTTAAATTTAAAGATTCAGCTTATATTACTATAATTTAATTTTACAGATAGCATTTTCAAATACATAAATAATATCAAATAACCTAAGTAGAAAAGCATTTTTTCCAAGTAAATTATTTTAAATTTAAATGAATGTCTAAGTAAACTAGTTTAAATAAACGAAATCAATAAATATTATTTTTAGGATTTGTTTTCTGTTCTTATTATAAAAAAGGACACGATTTTAAATAAATACGTTATGTATTGCCGAGGAAAAAGGCAGTGACTTATATCAATATATTTGCTACTCAAGAGCTATAACATCATACATAGTACTACAATACACATTCAATACAATTCTACAATATACATTCTTAATGCTAGTACATATTCCATACTTTTGTAATCTAAATTATGTTATTAAGTTAATTATTTTACTTTTATATGTAACCATGATTTTTTGTGGCTATTTTAGTGTTTTTTTTTTT